TAAGAACATTCATCATGTATCTGACAGGTTCTAAGAAGGTCAGAGTGAACCATTCCAGAAATAATATCCATGCAATGTTTTAAAAACATTTGCTGTAATAACAGGGGTGAACAAAGCACAAATTCATTAATGAACCCATGTAGGAAGCCAAAGCTCCAGTCTGCTTGACTAGTTCCATGTTATGCTTGCCCAGAAGTACATTTAACTAGGATAAAAAGCGGCAACCAATGCAATTAAACTCAAAGGTATGGCGAGCTAATTATGTACTATGGAAAATAAGCAAGTACTTATTTTCTTCGGTAATGAAGCATCTTGTATTAACCCTCCAAAAAAACAATGTCTTTGGCTAACATTTTGGCTGTGAGCTGTGAGTTGCGTGTAAGGTCATCATTTGAGCTAGCATCTTCATTTTCACTTGATGAATTGTTAAATTGTGAGGTGATGTGAGGTGTGTTGTGGTAGCATTAGAGTTATAGGTTTTGTGCTGTACTCTACCGTATTTCGCTCGGTTTAGTCACTCTTTCCAAATATCCTTTCATATTTCTGATTCTGAATGTCTACCATTCGTTCAAAGCTGATTATTATTCCTAGAAGAAATCGTTCCTACCAACAGCCAGACCATGTCCCTGGTTTGCGTGTATAGTGCAGCAGGTACCAGGATTCGCAAAAGAGTAGCAAGTACTACAGCATCAAGGTGCTTTGCACCACAGAGAAATAATATGATGAACCAATTGGGGCACATTACATTTAAACAAACTTATAAACTGATTTTTTTTTTTTTGTGAAAGTCAATAGGCAATAGAGCGAACTAAAAAATGCTGGTGATTGATAGATCAACACATTACTGAACCTGCTCATCTGTTAAACAACTGTGCGTAATAATAATAATAATAATAATAATAATAATAATAATAATAATAATAATGACCTGGATACGTAATCTGCTTGTCTTGGGCATCTGGGCTACCATTTTTTTCCCAATACTGAATAATGGTTATTAGAACATTGGTCACACAATGTTCATAGTTAGATAAAAACTAACATTATGAAAATATTTTACAACTACTACTAAAATGTTACTGCCATGTAGCAATGTTTATAATGTTGTGCAAAATACATTCACTGCAACACCCAGAAAAATTAAGAGCGTGAACATTCTTGGAACTGTTCAGAAAATGTTCTGCTCACCTAAAAATCTTAGCTAGGTTTGTGATCCTGAACAAGCTAATCTGTCTAAGTATCAGTTAAATAAGTCTAACTCGAACAAGGTGAAAACTGGAAGACAATATGTGTGAGACAATACATCACTCAAGCTTGTGCGCCTTAGTGTTCATTTCATTCTTTTTCATTTGTATAGTTTTTTTCTTTGTGATTTCTTTTTTTTTTTCGTTTGTACCAAACTATATGGAGAGCACTTTGTTATAGCATCATATCTTAAAGTCAACATGTCTTGAGCACATCTACTGAGAAGAGGCACAAATCACGGGGAGAGAGAGAATGAGCCATGTGGTCCAAAAAAGCTTTTTTCTATTTCAGCTGACTGAGCCACATAATGGAAATCTGGGCCTTGATGAATGGCCAGAAGGCAGTGAAGCAAAGCATGGCAGAACAAACCGTAGACTGCAGGCACGACCAAAAAGCTAACAAATAAACTGCATAGCACATGGAGGGAGAAGGTCTCATCTCAGTTCATTACCCACTGATATGAGCCTCCATTCTCAATCTGGACTGACGTACAGTCTTTATTCACTATATTAAAGTTGACATCAGAAGTTTACAACAGAAGTAAGTGTGTGTGTGTGTGTGTGTGTCACATCACTGAGTGTCATGGGATACAAAAAACCCTTCATCATGCCTTTACTGATTCTCAGGGGCTACTGAAAATCTTGATAAGGGAACAGCCAAAGCTGCTCTGTAAGCGAGTTAATATCAGTGCGATGCAAATCCGAGCAGCGACTTCAATAGATTCATCGAGACGTATTTCATATGACTTTCTCACAGATCCAGCGATAGCCCATGAGACTGCGAGTCAACTATACAAGTGCTATTTTTTTCTACTTAACACTTACGAGAGAAGTAATGAACGGTGCGCTTATCTGATCAATTCTCGTTTCGTGGCTTTGCAGCTCCGAGCCAGCAGCAGATTAAATGAGAACTAATGGGAGAGGAAATATGATTTGGAATTATATGTGATGAGTATGTCTGTCAGCTGTTTTTAATGGGCACAGCAGAATTAACGTTCAGCATTTGTGAAGTGTCCTCATGCAGCAGTAATGAGACAGAAGATGAATTACCTTTCGTGCAAGGTTTCATTTTGACACATACACACACACACACACACACACACACACACACACACAGCTATACAAAATGTGTGTATAACACGCAGGCACACATTCTGGAAAGGCACAGTCTGTTCAAAGCCAAGTCTACAACACATCTGTACACTTAGGCTTGAATGCATGTGTAAGAAGACAAACTTTCTGAATTAATAGGTGATTGACAAGCTCTGACAAGGAGAAACACATCTTTAGCCCGATTGGTCAGATGTTGGTGGTCAATATTGTTTGTTTTTAATCCTGTTCACAGAGCCTGGAGCACCAACGAGACTGGAGTTTTTGCTCGAAACAGGTATTTTATTGACAGCTGTTAGTGTGAGGAGAGGAAAGAAAAGAGTTCATACTTAGTTACTCCATGTTACACATCCTGAAACACAGTGTGGAAACAAAAACACAGTGAAACAAATATGTTTATACTGAAATGTTTGTGATGTTTTTAGTGATTCTGCCGCTAATTTAAGTCAGGTCAAGTGGAGTTTATTGTCATTTCAACCATATACAGCCAGTTAGTACATAGTGAAACGAAACGACGTTTCTCCAGGACCAAGGTGCTACATAAGACAAACACAGAACAACACAGAACTACAAGGGACTACATAAATTTATACATAAAGTGCATAAGTACAAACATGTGCTGACAGCACAAGACTACAATGACTACTGGGACAGACAATGGGCACAGTACGTCCCAGTGCAGCGCCGACCAGTACACAGTTCTATGTGAAAGTGAATCTAGTGGGACATCACAGTGGGACATTGCTACCACAGTTATGATGGTGTTTAATAGGAGAAAAATGGATAAAACAATCTCAAACATAAGTGATAACGGTCAAGTTTTGCTGTTAGCTCAATATCATATTAATGAGAAATACAATGTAGAAATAGTGGAGACAGCAAACTTTGGAAACAAAGTTCCAGAATACAGTGCAGTGATATGAAGCAGGTGTGGCCAAAGATTTAATTGTGCTGAGTTACAGCAGATACTCAACTCAGCTAGTTAGTAATATACCAGATGACAAGCACGATGGCACTGGTGGTGGTATTAGCATGAAAATTGAAGCTTTGGAACCTGATCTTTTTGAGCAGAGTGTACAGGTGAGGAGGTGAGAAAGCTGGACAGACTAAAGAACTCTTTAGGTAGAGCTGATACAAGGGCTAAATCTCACTGGCAGCACTGGCAGCAGGTAGTCGAACAGCATTGTGGGTAATGTACAAAACTGTTAACCAAAGTGGAAATAGACCATGTCAACAAAAATTTCAAGAATTTCATTACAGCATAATTCTTGGATACCACTGACGATTGCATATTAATTATAAAGATGAATATGCAAGTCGTATAGGGTAGATTTTTCCTTAAATCTCGTGATGTATAGTATATCTGTCCAACTCTGATCCATGGCTGGAATCTATTCTTGGCCTTTTCGTCCACTCTCACAGCTATGCTGATGATATTCGGCTTTATCTGTCCTTCCCCCCAGTGGACTCCTCAGTCTGCCTTCCAGATATTTCAGCCTGGATGAAGGATCACGTTCTCTAACTCAACCTTTCAAAGCTAGAGATTGTTGTCAGCCCAGCAAGTCCCTCAATCCAATACAACATCAAATTCAACCTCAGTTTATTGCTGCTACTACTATCAGGGTCCACCAGGAATCTTGAGGTAACAATATATGAGCAGTCTGCCTTCATAAACCACACTGTGGTGATTTCCCGATCCTGCAGGTTTGATTTGTATGTCAGGAAGTACATTACATACCTGGAATGCATGACACAACTCGTCCAGACACTTTGAATATATTTGTATTTTGCTTTAATGCCTTTGGCAGACACCCTTAGCCAAAGCAGCTGTATAGTCTTCATCAAAAACATATCCTTACACCACAATACAAATAGATAAGGGACTAAACACATCAAGCTAGAACCGTGTTAGAGAGGAGTTAGTGTGGGAGTTAGTACAGGCATGAAAACAGATTACAAGTCGAGCTTTATTCTTTTCTCCTTTGCAAGTCTTCAGCCTTTTGTCTGATCTTCAATCAACCAAAACACACACATCATAAGCTTCTCTTTATCTGAATCTACTGAACGTGAAGTTTAAGTCCTTGATACTTGCCTATAGAGTAAGTAAAGGAACTATGCCCACCTGTTGAGAGTCAATGCCATTCAGTTTTATTTATTTGTATAGATCTTTCAACAATAGTCACAAAGCAGCTTTACAGAAATCCAGATGGAGGTTTAGTCACTTGTTATCCCAATCACTCTCTCACTGAGTGTGTGTGTGTATATAGTCTGTCACTGCCATACAATTACCTTCTTCAACATAAACCAATGTACCTTACATTTACTGTTACTAATTACCCCACATATCCTATTACTGTTATTAGTGTGCATTATTAGTTAGCTCGAATATATTATTTTTTTAACTCTGCTATGAATTCTATGATCATTTTTGGAGAAATTACATCTATAACATGTCTTCTCTTAATCTGTAATAATAAAAACATTACATTACATTTCAGGAAAAAAAATTGTCCAGTTGTGGCCACTGAATCATATAAAGGAGCACTGAAGATGGCTTAAGCCCTGCCCACTTGGCACAATCATACCATTTCATATATCCGTGAAAAGCAGATTTACTCATATATACTGTATGTTGATTTATAAGGGTCCCCAGAGGACTAGTGGTTAGGCCTTGGCACTCTCACTGCCGCGGCCCGGATTCAATTCCCATACAGGGAACCACGAAAGTGCACTCCCAGTGCTGGTCCCAAGCCCAGATAAAATTGGGGAAGGTTGAGTTTGGAAGGGCATCTGATGTAAAAACTGTGACAAATCAAATGATCCGCTGTGGCAGTTGAGAGCAGCTGAGAGAACAACAACTGTATGTTGATTTTTGTGTCATTATGACATACATGTCAATTTCCTTTATAAACCTTACAAACCCCACTAAGCAGAGCAGAAACACATTAAATCACACTGCATTTTTAAAACCCTTTTTTTTTTTCAAAATCTTTTTTTTCTTCTAAATTCAGAACCAAAAACCTGTTTCTAGATGAGCTGCATTAATGGCATTTCACAAGTTCACTCCTATTCCTAATTAGAAGGATATTACTTGGGAATTTCACAAAATGTTGATTATTGTTAGATTTTATCCTGAAAAATTGCTTCTTTTTTTTTTGCATGGTATTTTCTTGATTAAAAAATAAAGAAATTATGTTCCAACTAAATTTTTCTGCGAAAGTCTGTCTCTGAGAGTGTCTTCAGACTGAAATAAATATTTTAATTCTACAAAACTAGATTTTATGTTTTAAGAATGCAAACTCAAGCATTATATTCATAAATAAATGTAAATATTTGAAAAGGTTACTATAAGCAAAAATACTTGTAAGAATATCAGCAATCAACTGGGATTGATAAAGTGTAATATATACTGTTTTAAAAGTATTACTCTATTCACCAGTAACGTCTTGCCTTAGTTACTGCTCAGTGTGCTCCTCTCACAACTATATTTTCTGAACTAACCGATCAGTTGGTGGATAATTTATTTTGTTTTATAGCAGTTTTTTCACTGTTGAGTCCTTGAAAGGCTACATGCTTGAAGTGGAAGCATGTTCTCACACTCAATGTGCTCACACGTTCTGAAGAGAGAATCTGCTAAATGAATACAGGAGAAAAGGTTTAGCTATACAATTTATTTTTTAACTAAAAAATAAAAAACAGCTTTTCCATGTGTTGAGTCAGAATGTGGTTCTCTCTCAGAAATGGTCAGAACTTGATTTATTGCTGACAGAGTAATTAGATAGATGGCAACCCCCTTTACCAGTGTGTCAAAAGAAGGTGGTCTTCAGAAATGTGCCCTATATAGAGGGCTAATACAAATTCCTCAGCCGTAAAGAAAGAAAAAAAAATTAAAAGACAGAAACTACCATAGCCCACCGACCAGAGCGCAAAGCTGACCTAATTATTAATCACTGCAAATGCAGCAACATGACACTTTTTAATTAATTGGCTGACTATGTGTGGCCTATTTGCCAACATGTTTGGGGAGCAAGTCTTACAGCATGGCTACAGACGTGTTATATTTAATTAGGACTGGAGGCTTCTCTTAGCACAAGCCCCAGAGTGGGACGATCAGGGCTAGCACTCTCCCTAGGGACGCTGGGACGCTGTAATTTTTCAGGTCACTTACGCAGACAATTGCAAATTTCTAGCTAAATTAGAAAACCCATCTAAAACAACCATAAGGCTATCTAGTCATGTAATGGAGCTCTAGTAGTAATTTTTTTTTTCATGAGCAAGGCGTCTTCATTAGAATGTAATTAAAACTGTGTTCCTTTCTTATTCTAAGTTTCACCAGGAGAGATTTAAACAAATCAGTAAATTCTCATGTGAATTACGAACAGTGAATGAGAAAGGAAACTAAAATTACTTCATTTAATGGCAAAAAGCTTCCTCAAAGATAGACTTAATTTTGAAATAATCTGTGATTGCTTAGGCTGTGCTTCAAATAGAGGGTTTTTTTTGTGGTTAGTTTGGTGGTAGTTGGTTTTCTTTGTAGTACAAATGTAACGCTTTTGCCTCTGACTCATGAATATTCTGATACATCTGGTGCAATTAAAAAAAAATAGAATCAGCATCCCTTGTGACTCATACAAGGTAGAGTATACACTAGCATCATGAGAAGTGATTTCTGAGAAAATGTGATTGTAAGTCATCAGAGAAAATGCCATTACATGTATTGAGTCTTGTAACTGTAGGAATATAAACGGAAATGAAATTCAGTAGCAGGTTTGTGGACTGTTTCCTGATAAAAAATGTAGCAATGTATACTTGTTACTTAGGCACTGTTCACACCTGATATAAACATCTTTTTCCCCTGTTCTGAATAAAAGTAGACCGCTGAAATGGATGGCTGATCACATCTGGTATTTTCCTGTGTCTTGAATGAATTTCTTGACTAATAACGTGAATGGCAAGACGGTCCTTTGTTTCTTTGCAAGTATTTTTACCTAAGGTGATGCAAAGACATTGTACTTGTAAGAGTGTGAGGCAGTATAGCATTATAGGACCACTAATATTCATTCATCTTCATTAACCGCTTTGTCCTGGTCAGGGTCGACGTGGATTAGGAGTATGTGCTGGAATCCCTGGGCACTAGGTGAGCCAATACCAGCCCATTTCAAGTCAGCCCACACACACACACACACACACACACACACACACACACACATTTACAGCTAGTGCTAATCGACTTACTGGCATGTTCGGCAGGTGGGAGGAAACCAAAGAACCCGGAGGAAGCCCACACCCTCTGTATAGACAGGAAGTCAATTTCCGTATCAACCTGGGAACTCTGGAGCTGTGAAGCAGCATTGCTACCCACTGCGCCACTTTTCCACCCAGCTTGTTAATTCAAATACTAAAGTAGTGAACATTCTGTGTAACAGTAACGCACTTCATAAATAGTTTCATCAATACTGCCCTACTGTTCCTCAAATTGTTCTTTGACAATTTTTATCATAATTTTGCTTAATAAAAATAGCTGCAATATGACACGAGACAGGCTACAAATGGCTATTCAGGCTACAAATATTACGAGCACCTCCACAAGTGGTTTGGCTGACTAGAATACAATGCGGCTCCACTTGAGATGGATATTTTAACGTGGTCTCTCTTCTGTTCACACACATTTTTTTTTTTTTGAGGATTGGATTTCCTCTCATTTTCTCACCTATTTGGTCACCTGCCAATTCCCACTCACCAGCCAGCTCTCCCCTATCAGGCGACAGCTAACAACTGGGAGGCTGAAGGCTAACAACTGAATCTTTTCAAACTGCTGCTCATGCTGCGTCACTGAGCAGTGTAACATACTTGGAGGAAAATGCAATCTACCATCTTCCGCATGCATACCACTCATAGACGCTCAGGATCGACTAGTGTCACTGTAACAATGACATCTAAAGACTTATCTCTTCATAAAGTACTTAAGTTAGCACTTGCACACACACACACCAGGGGAAAAAAAAAAAAAAACGATAAAACTGGTATTCCTAGTTTGTGACCTAGTGAGCCAATATCAGAATGTATTTTTGATAGACTTCAAAGCATTATTGTAAGTCGCTCTGGATAAGGGCGTCTGCCAAATGCCATAAATGTAAATGTAAATGTAAACAACTGGGTATGAAATCCCTCCCACCCTGAGATTAGTCAATTTTACTCCCTTGGCTCCTGGCTATGGACGGCTGTGGAATCTAATTATTGTTGCAGGTTCAAAACCAGAAGATAAGGCAAACACTTTTCTTTGGTACCGTCTAGAGCTGTTCACACACTTTTTTCACAACTTGAATGAATATACTGTATACTGAATATACTGTAGCTAGCACTTTTATATCTGTTTCCATTTGTATTTATGTACTAAATATAGTATTTGTTTTGAAACAAGTCTTTCAGATTTTGTTTCTGTCAGGTTTTGGTCCCCAGTGACCGTATACAAAATACTGAACATGAGGGGAAGGACCCTGGACAAAAGCATGGCTAGACTTGTGTATTTCAATCTGACTCTCATATGAGGATTTAAAAGCATGATTTAATGTTAGGGTTAGCAGCGAATTTAAAGTTCATGTATTTTATGGTTTCATTTATTCCCATTTGATGAACACAATATTGTTCTTTTACCAATGGGGCCTTTCTAGCTTTCACAGGAAATTGCAGCTAAGATGGATTTTGTATGTGATCATAGTTCGTTCAGCCTTAATAGCAGGATCCTGCAATAAGATCATAACTTGGAGATAAACACTTCACACGTAATAAAATAGTGCTTTTCTGTTTACTCTCTCCCAGTTTGTGACAGCTGTTTGAAATTCAATTTGGGCAGATATGAGAAAATCCATAGGTAATTATATAAGAGCCAAGACTCCATTACTGTTGCTTATGACTACTGTAGAATAAATCAATTTAAGTTAATGACTTGTCAAGAATGTGTTTGATTTATCTCAGGTTGACAGTACTGAAACGTGCAAAACATCTTCTTTTACCCAGAAATCTACCTTATGCATGAATTAATTTTTGATTAATTCTGTATTTGTTAGACACAAGGCAACCTTAAATGTGAGCAACATAATGAAAAGTATACAATCTGTAAAGAAAAATATTAATTATTGCATATTATTCAATGGCAATCTGCACTGTTGATCATGTATTGGTTAATCCAGTAATCGAAAAATATAATAAATATGTTTTTTCCCACATAATATTCAGAATTGGAGGTTGCTTACTAAAAAAAAAAACAGATTCTGTTCAGAAATATGCACACACAAAATCCAGAGCTAGAGACACACAAATGCCCCGATTAATGCAAAGGCTGTGCACTATCCTCCTTGCTAAATTATCACCATGGGTGGTAAGAGTCAGTGGAACAGGGAATGAATTTCCCGCCTCTTAGAATAAAGCCCTTGAGTGCTTTTCTCTCTCCTTTAAAGAGAAGGGCACAGACACTGCAATGACACACCGCTGAATTGTAATAGCTCAGTGGTTTAAAAGCACTTTAGACACCCCCTTAACATGGAGACAGACCCAGACACATTTCCCAAAAGTACCGTTTCGGCCACTGCTAAAAGCCTTTTAAGGCGAGTTAAAGGCGGCAGCCTTCACACAAACTCTCATGTGAAATTACTGAGAAAGAAGGACCATGATGTGTCTCCTCCTGCATAGCAAAAACAAGGTATGATTATAATTCACCT